TTCTGCCCCTAAGTCAATTGTCTATGATCCTCATCCTCTTCCCCCACCCTTCTCCACCCTGCCAAGGGGACGGCATGTCCTAAAAGGAGGGCTGAACCAAGGACTCTAGGACTGAAATTCTCTGGATGGGTGGCTTGAACAGACCAGATACACCTGAGAGATTAGCCAGAAATGTGACAAATAACAGCTCTAAGAAATTCAGCTGCAGCAGCTGAAGAAGTTACCTAGCCAAGATGATTTTCCCTCCACTGGACTTTAGTGTCTCTCTAACAGAGAGCGCAGCCTGAACATCCATGAACATCTCAGCCATTCCCCCTTGCAGATCACAGCCAAGGTGAGTTTGCACTAATATGCAAGGCTTGGACTACTGTAACTGAGTCACAGGCAAACCGATGCCCCCCCCCCACCTTCAGCATGACAGCGCTGACAAGGTCTTACACTGCCACAGCTACACCCACCAACTGGAGCCCAGCCTCGTACCAGCAATACAACCCGGGTCTCACATACCCATCTCCTGCCCGCAGCCTGAAAGCACCCACTACAGCTTCCTCACTCCTTCCCACACTGTGTGTTCAGTGCTACCTCATCATTTTTAGTCACACTACTTTTTCCAAAATCAAAACAACCTCTTCCATTTGTATGATACATCAAAAATGGACAGAAGCATTAAATGTTATATTACATTTCTTCCAAAGCAATCTAAGTTATGCTGTTTTATTCTGCTAGGTTACCGTTGCAGAGAGAAGCCAGCAACATAATAAAAATAGAACTACTCTGACACCTTCTGGTGAGAAACCCCATAACAAACACTACCCTTGTTAACAGCAGCAATGCGCAAGAGTGTATGCTCTGAATTTCATCTCCAAGCATTAGCATTAGGCAGCACTAATCAAGAAAGGAGTCACTGTAAATCATAAGCCTCTCATTAATATAATACCCTCTGACCAAAGCCAAATTAAAAAGAATTAAATATTTTAAAACATGCACTGTATAAAGAAAGAATATATTTTTTGTATGCACATCATCTCCATAACGACATCCGTCATAAACTGTTACTCTTAACCTGCTATTTAGTACCTTAAGAGATGTTTTACTTCTTCTAAACAGTGTTGTCAAGTGGAATCACAGATTCCCTACATGCCATCACTGCCCCAGACTGCATTCTGCCAGAATGAATAGGAATAATCAGCATCTTTTACCTGAATAATCAGCTAAAGAACTACCTACCCACATCACTTACACTAGGTTAATCATTCTTAAACCTTCAAATTCTGACTAAGTAGACATGCAGCTCCCTGCTCCTATGGAAAGTGCAACATAGAAAGAAACCAGCTTCTACCCATCCAGGCATCTGCACAGCTTCGAGGTATGAAGTATCCTACTACACCTGGCGGGGACTAGGAGGCAGGGTACCAAGTTAATGCATTACTACAGCTGAGTCTGCCTCATCCTTCTCTTCCCTAGCAACTATTTTCAAAAGCACTTATTGAAATATTAGTTTGAAATCATTAACTCCAGAAACACTGAATCTTCTTCGCTGGCAAAACAATCCACTTGATGCAATGGTTTTAAGGTTTATAAGAACAAGAAACCATTAAATGACTCAGTATAATAGCAAAACAACCTCACACTTATATTTGCACAGAAGAAACAGTACTGTGGTCTACCCACTTTAGAAGATGGAGCTCAAGAAGTTCACAAAACCAATTATATGACAACCTGCTTGAAAGAAATGAGGGCTTAAGTCAGTGATCCAGCATATTCCTTTAGTCCTGCGTTTAATAACGAGGCTTACAGCTATAATATCTTAACATCATCCACCCCCACCAGAAATACAAATACTTACTTAAATCCTACTGAATTAATATTTGTTGGAAAAAGTATATCTTTGTAGAGACGTGTATCTGTTTATGGTATGTTAAAAAAATTATTCACTTGTAAGTTTAAATTATCACTTGAGTAGCAGTCCCAAATAAAATTAACATGGCATTAAAAGAGACCTTTCCATACCTGAAAAAACCTGACATTGCAAACCTGAATCTTGAACTTCGAGGGGTCTTCTATCTACCAAAGAGTTAATTTAAAACACAGGAGATGCACTTCCACAGGGACCAACTTGGTGCTGGACAAAGTCTTCCTTACATTACTTAACCTTGTCTTAGAAAAACACTCCTTCCCTATTTGACACTAAGACCTTGCTGTTTTATCATCAGTATTCATTGAATTGGTTTCATAAGCTTCACTGTAAAGATCGTCTTTCCTTTTTTGTGATATGTGCCTAGTTATTGCTCACAAGTTCATATTCTTGAAAACCATTCTAATTTCCTCCCCCAACCCACTACAATTTGCACATTTGTCTCCAGGATGTTACCTGTCTTGGACCTGAGCTTCTGTTCCCAGCCTACAGAAATGGTGAAACTACTACCCAATGAGACCTTACCAGTGCCTTTAATAAAAAGAAAACATTAATCTAGGTGTAACTGAAGGACAGATGCCACAAACAGATCTGACACCAGTCTTCCCTATCATTGATTGCTAACCCAAAAGTGAGTGTGAGCATTAGAATTAAATTGTAGAATATGAAAAAGATTAGTATCTATACTCAATTATTTAGAAAAATATTGATGTTCATTATTTATCTCACATTCTCTCAAATTAGAAAATAACAACATGCAACTGAGCAAAGAACAGTTCCCAACAGTCTCAATAACTCTGCTAGCTAGATTTGAAGTAGCATGAGTACACATACTTCCATGGGCATCCTGGGAAGAATACAAGAACGCTGCCCAGATGTGTAGGGATGGGATTAGGAAAGCTAAAGCACAGCTGGAGCTGAATTTGGCGAGGCATGCAAAGAATAATAAGCCTCTTGGCCAGAAAAGGAAGATTAAAGAAAATGCACCACCTCCAGTAAGTAAGACAGGAGAGCTAGTGACAACCAACATGGAGAAGGCTGATGTACTCAACAATCACCTCTCCCATGAGAGTTGGGGTTGTTCAGCCTGGAGAAGAACAGGCTCCAGGGAGACCTTTCAGTACTTAAATGGGGCTTATAAGAAAGGTGGAGAAAGACTTTTTACCAAGGTCTGTATTGACAGGACAAGGGGCAATGGTTTTAAACTGAAAGAGAGTAGATTTAGGTTCGACTTAAGGAAGAAATTTTTTATGATGAGGGTGCTGAGACACTGGAACAGGTTGCCCAGAGAAGTTGTGGATGCCCCATTCCTGGAAGTGTTCAAGGTCAGGCTGGACGTGGCTTAGAGCAACCAGCTCTGGTGAAAAACGTCCCTGCCTGTGAAAGGGGAGTTGGACTAAATGATCTTCAAAGATCCCTTCCAACCCAAACCATTCTACAATTCCATGATACTTCAACTATTGTTATCCATATCAACTACAATGACACAAAAATAAGTCTTTTTGCTAGAGCTCTAAAGAAAATTCTCTCTTGATTTCCATGCACTTAGCATGAATCATCCACTTTCCATTAACAAAGGGCCAAAATATTTTCACCCATTTAGGGGTGATAGCACAAGAAACGTGGCTGTTGGAGAAGACCACATGAAGCCCAGGACCCGCCTCCAGGTCTATCGAGACTGCACTTGGGAGAGCAGGAGGAAGTAAAGCTATATTATCTTATTTCCAAGCAAGTATTTTGCATCTCTTTACATAACTATGCACAAGAGAAAAATCAAGCAGAAAGACTGGATATTTTCTGAGACAGATTTTAAACAAGCTGGCACTGCATCAGTTGTAATTATCCAACTATTCCTGGTCTCCTCCAAGGGTAAGTCACTTGGCAAGAAGGGGGATCTTACAGTTGACAGAGGCTATCACCTGCAACATCTTCTGTGTAAATAAGTCAGCAATTTTCTACCACTTTTTTTAGTACACCTAGTATTTATATGCTAACATGTCTGCAGGCTTGGAAAATATTTCCATTCCAACTACTCTAATTTAAAAAAAAAAAAGTGCAAAACCAGAGATCAGGCATAAGTTTTTGTTTTGTTTTAAACATGTCTGCCAAGCACAATGAAGACACTAGAATGTCAGCAAGAGTTCAAAACAAACAGTGTCCAATTTTCTGAAAGGAGCCAGTTGTTCCTAGAGGACACACAGGTAAAATGAGTAACCAGTTTCAGGCTCTAGAGACAAGTAGTGTGTCAAGATTTGGTTTCTCCCAACCACACAGAGAACAGTCGTGGTCGATTAAGCACTAAAACAAAATGTTAAGATCTGATCGAGAGGCTTATAAAGAGACATATTGTGGGGCCCTCTTACCTTAGTATTTTAAGAAGGGATCACAATCATAGAGGAGAAATACAGACATTTCAAAAGATTTTGCCAATTATTTTCTTAGTTTAGATTAAGCAAAACATCAGTAGAAATGAATGCCTGTTCAGAAAAAAAAAATCACAATTTAGAAAATGCTAGTGTGATGAAGCTACCACCCTGAGGAAACTATACATGGATTCAGAGACTGTGTGCTGATTTATGACAGCATGACACCAAATGAATCCAGACCAAATTTTAAAAAGCAAGTAACCTTCACAGACAAAAATACTTCTAAAAAGTTTCTGTTTAGTAAGGACTCACTTTTCCTCAAAGGAAAAGAAAAGCTCATCTTCAAAGTTGAGAAAACTCTTCTGCAAGTGATGACTTCACTGCTCATTAGAGAATTATATCATTAAAAGGAAGTGCCTGTAATACCAAACAGTATTTTGAGTGTAAAAACTGTCAACGTATCAAAGAAATTGTCCTTCCTTAATTGGATTGTATGTGGAACAAGTCAACAATGTATACACATTCATTTATGAAATAACATGAATTCTCAGTACCCATGAAAGCAGTGCAGCCTCTCTTTTCTCCTCATTGTAGCCAGGGATTCAGGTGACTTTAAATTTAATAAAGATCACAGGAAGAATTTAATTCCTCACTACCCAGCCATTTACCATCAAGGAATCAGCTGCTTCTGCCAACATGATCAGTTGCCAAGTAGCACGTATTAGCATGCAGCTTCAGAGTTATGGTCCCATTGGATTAACAGAGACACTTTCACCTCACATACTAAGTCAGGCGTAGAAAAATGAAACTGCCTCTGCTTCCTAACAGTTCACATTTTAGAGATTCTTTGGCCAACTTTCGATCTGGAAAGTGAACTATTTTGGCAGTAAAAGCTTTTATTCCAAGTAAATTACCTGACAAAAGATGAATAAGACAAATTTTGTGGCTAAAGAATTTAGAGTCCTAGTTATATGCATATTGTTAGTTATATACATTTATGTATCTGCTGAAAAAGCAGGCTTCATTTCGCACTACCTACAGTGGCCTCACTATAACTTCACATAGAGCATGATATTAAATTCTATCTTAGATATTAGTTTCCCCTGCATCACAAGGCCACACCAGCCGAGAAAATCTATTATTTCCACATCAGCCAAAAAAGCTACAAAAATTACTTTGAAGTATATGCAACTCTGCTTATTACAAAAGGAAAATAGATTGTTAATTAATTAATGTAAGTTAGCATTTTCTGTTACTGTCAAACCTGATCAAGAGTATGTTTTACATCCAATGAATCATGTAAGCAAAGGTACCGTTAAGAACAGCTACAAAATAAATGGAAAAAGACTTTATGGAAGGAGCACCATCTTTCCTCGAGCACCACTGCTATGAATAATATCTTCATGAGCCTTAACTACTTTCTCCAGTGGATATTCAGAGCCCACAATTGGTTTCAGCCAGCCAGCTTCTATGCCATCAAGGAGTGCTGTCGCACATTCATGCCTCTCCTCCTGCAGGTAATAAAGACAGCATTTACCACCAGGTCTTTACATTTTAGAAAAGTATTGACTATTTATGTAAGTGTTAAACCAAATTTCACAAGCCAAAAATATTTTATGATGTTCTGAGATTAAATCATAACATAAAGGAATGAACAAGCACGTTCATTACGCTTTCATCCCTACAAATGTTTTTAACTGGAAATAGGGAGGTGTTGGAACAAGCCAACAAAACAGTCTTTAAAATAAAAATGTTTCTTACCTCAGTTTCAAGAAACAGACTAACTCCAATTATGCTAGATTCTTTACTCATAGTGTCTCTCGGATTTATCTCAATAGGACCTCTAGAGCCCACAACCTGTTACAAACAAATTAAAAGGTATTTCAAGTTACAGCTGTTGAATTGCATTGCTAAATGCACAAACTAAAGTCAGTCACAAAAAATACCTACCATCACCCTTCCTCCATAGGACAGCAGTTGCAAGTCAGTAGCAAGATTGACATTAGAGAGCATTTCTATTATTATATCAACTCCTTCCATCCCTGTGTGTTCCTGTACAGGACATAACATGTTATTTAAATCACTCCAATTAGTGCTTGGGTACCACTGTTTATTTCATATGCTACAGATAATATACATTTTACAGTTTATTGTTTAAATCTTAAATACAGCCTTTGTATTAAAGCTGACAGCTACTAAGTTTAATTTTAGCATATTTGATATGCTGAATTATGATATGCTACCATATTGGAATTTTCTGGAATGCAAGAGTCTCTAAATGCCATTGCCTGTGAAGAAAGCTCAGCTTCCCCAGCCCGGAAAAGTTTTCCCTTGTGTAGAAATGAAGAAGGCAGTACACTATTACTTCTACATAAATCTCCTTCAAAAAACTTCTGCAAACAACTGTTCACATTTTGTTAGTAAGAAAAATACATGCTGCACCACCTATCCCTGAAAACATGCTTACCTTAATTTTATCAATGTAATTAGCTTCTCTGTGATTAAATACTTGGTGAGCGCCATTTCTCAGAACTATGTTCATGCCTTCCTTGGTTCCTGCTGTACCCAAAACCTTCAAACCACAAGCTCTGGCAATCTGACATGTTGCTATTCCCACCTGAGGGGAAAAGAAAAAAAGAAAAGAAAAAAAAAAGAAAAAGAAAAAAATGTCTTTTTTTCTCCTTCTTTCTTAGCTTTTTAAATTTTATGTATTCTACCAGCAACTTGGAACCTACTCATTTAAAAAGCTGGCCTGGTAACATTTATTTTTAGCCATAATAAGTAATTTGGATCTTAAAGATAGCAAATACTCTTTGAAAAAATAAAAGATATTTACAGAGGCATAGTACAGTCTTGTGGGTTTTTTAATAGCTCTCAGCATTTGATATAAATCCATGTAGAATGTTGTCTATCTGTTAAAGTTGGGCCATATATATTTGATACAAAGCCAAGGAAATTCTTCTCTTCACAGAATCAGCTGCTATTGATACCAGCATTATATATTGCAAAGACAATCTGCAAGCACAAATTTTATTAACAGTACTTTTGTACCTTTCACATACAGATTAAATGATATCTTTAGAAACCAAATTCTCAGCGTCTCATACCAGTTTTGCACTCCAGAGGATGTTTAGAGGTGAGGGATGCCTTCATAAAAACCTGAGGTTGGAGCCAATGATCACTTGAGGCATACCAATGTCATCTCTTGGTTTTGCTTTGTGTCACGCCAACAGAATACAAATGCAAAACAAGGGAACAGCTGACACGAACAATGGGATTCAGTCCCAGCTGGTGAGCTTCCTGCGGCTACAGATTCGGCAGCCCACTGTACCAACCATACAGCTGGATACCTCCTCCAGGATATGTTAAAATATGTATGTTTTTATATTTTTGGTGGCACGACAAAAAAATAAACAAACACACAAAGACGACCATAAAAACTCCATTCTGTGGCTCTGCTATTTAAATTTGTATGTATGAATAACACAGAAAATAAATGGACAGGCTTCTCGAAAAAATCTACCATGACCATCTGTCTGGCCAGGATCTGCCCAAACTGTTTGGCAAATGTGACCTTGTTTTCTCAATAGCAGATCATCAGTTTTCAACTAAATGAAAAAACAAACACCACTAATTAAAATACATCATGGCCAGACTGATTTTCAGAGAAAAATTCAAAAGGAGGCACATTTTTAAGAATCATTATGTAAATCAGCATCACTTGAAAGAAAAGATGCAGCACAAACCATCTTTTCTCTTCAGCATGTGCTTCATACCTACACGAATCTCACTGCTTTGACATGTGTTCCTATAACAAAGGTTACAAGTCCACAGAACAACAGATTCGCATTATACACTTCTGCAAACCAAAGGCAATATATCTTTTCAAGAAACATAAAACAAGAACTATGTTTAGTTTAAGAAGAAAAAAAAAGGCTACGATGCTGAATATCATTCTAGAATCTTAGAATGAGATCTGAATTCCTCCTCATATGAGACTGTCATAATCACCTTTTTGCTGTCTACCAAATAATTAAGGAAACTTTGCCCATTTAGGGCAGCTGTTCGATACGTCAGCAGAAGCTGAGCAACAAAGTGCAGAGTACGGGGGATAAACTAGAACATTGTGTGAAAGAAACCTGAAGTTAGCTTGTCATGTAAAATCAAAGTAAGAATGTATGTTCAATTTCACACAGTATTCAGTCAGGAATTTATATATTCCAGTGTATCTCCTTGTGCAGCCAGAAATGCAAGTTGCTATGCACCAGTGATTACTGCTCAGAGAACTGAGAACAACTTGCTCATATTTTAAAATTACAGCTTTCTGCTATTAGTTTTATCTCAGGAAGAGCGGTTATAAAGCTTCCAGACCAACTTCCGACTGCAGCAATGTGTTTAGGGGCCTTACACAATCACTCACGCAGTTTCATAGTTATTTGGAATAACAGGGTTTGCTCTAAGAAAAAAGTATCCTAAAGTATCTGAAATAAAAACCTAATTTTGTTAATCTATTAATTGATACAAATGTGGCCATAAATCATATCACAGACAAAAGCAGATAACAGGGACAGAAAGCGGCATTTCTTATAACTTGCCTTCTCAAAATACTTACTCCTCCACTCGCACCATGCACTAGCACACTTTCCCCTGCTTTGGCATGCCCTCTGAATGAAAAAACAGAAAATACTGGCATTATGATTGTAGCATATAATCATTAACCATCAGGCTGTATATACCGACATCAATCTCAGCTTTCACACAGTATTACTTCCAATTTATGTTATGGCTAAACAGGTATAATCAGCCTCTTTGGGAAAACAAGGAGGCAAAATAAACTATACCATTTATGAATTTAAGTAATATGCAATTTTGTCAACATGCAACTAGCAGCAAGTAACAGTCTGGTACTGAACTTCAGTTCAAGACCTTCACCTGTTACAGATCTGAAAAATCACAGAATGGTTTGGGCTGGAAGGGACCTTAAAGATCATCTCTTTCCGACCCCCCTGCCATGGGCAGGGACACCTTCCACTAGACCAGGTTGCCCAAAGCCCCGTCCAGCCTGGCCTTGAACACTTCCAGGGATGGGGCAAAAAAATAACATAAAAATAAACCACACTCATTCTAATAATTTGTTCTATCAAACTAAACCAGTCCTAAGCTCTTACCTAGCTGACAGGGAAGTCTGGTTTTTACTTGTCATACTGTCCTAGGGCACCAGCCAGGACTGTACACAGAGACTCTGGCAAGAGAGGCTCATGAAGAAAACAGGTGGGTCTGCTCTACAGCACATTGTCCATTTAATTAAGAAATTACAACTATTCCTGGTCTTCTTCCCTAGCTAAAATACCAAAGAGTACTGAAAAAGAGTTACACGTTTTATTACATGATACTTATAGAAGAATCCTTCCCAGGTCTGTTCTCTTAAGAAGAAATACTTAACAGGAAAATACAGTCATTAGCTTCTAGGTAGCAATTGTCTGACAATTCCATCAGTATAACGAATTTAACTTAAGTGTTTTAAACATTTCCCACTCATTGATCTCCCCCCATTTTGCAGGACAATGAAAATATGGGCTTCAGTATTTTAAATATTCAAAAGCAAAATGCACAAACTTAGATTTGGCACCTTACTTTTGGAAAAGAGCACGATAAGCAGTGAAGTAGGGTATTCCAATCGCTGCTCCTTGCCTAAAGTCCAACTTATCCGACAAAGGAAAGACTCTATTAGCTGCAGCAACTGCATAATCTGCATATCCTCCGGAGATTGTACCAGTAGTAAAAACCCTGTCACCTTTCTAGAAAGGAGGGAAAGAAAATAGAGAAATTAATCATCTCCCTTCTTTTTTCCTTAATATACATTAAGAACTAGTTCACAGAAGTTCAGGCTATTTCTAACAGCTCTCCTATTAAAAATAACCAGTTATATTTGTCACAGAGAAGATTTTTATAAATGCTAATACATACAATCAATGCAACACAAACCATATAATTTCATATACTTAGATTTAAGTGTCATAATTATAAACCCCGCTCCACAGTGTAACACACAAACCTGCCGTCTCATTAATATTAACCTTAATGAACCCGAACACTAAAGAATTCCATCCACAGATTCCAAATGCAAAACCTCGAAAGCTTTTGCAGACACAAAAGAAATATTTCTCAATTATTTTTGTTTAAACATGGAAAAAAGATATGCTCTTAATATGCCCTAATGTAACTAAATATCGCTGTTGTTCTTCAACAGTGAATACTCCAACCAGCAATTCAGCAGGCGATGCAGGAAACGCACCACCTGGCAGTGTGCTGTGCGTGCGGGCGCCAAGGCGATTCAGTCCTGCCAACGGGGTACGACACTAGCTGCTGTGCTCCAGGTCAGCACCCAACCTTGTACAAGCCCGCTCGCAGAACGCCAGTACCTGTTAACATTCGCACTTACTGAGCTCTGGTTTTTCGACTTATTTGCACGTTGATCTCATTAAACATATAGCATGTGGACTACGCCAGTTTGGTTTGCAGACATTGGGTATTAACTGCTGTGCAGAGGGCTGCATAGCAGCACAGCTGTTTCTCAAGCACTATGAGTACGCGAATGAATGAGCTTGGCTACTGGGCATTTTCAGGATGTCTGTCAGTGGCACGTATTGATCTCATCATCTCTCTCTTTCATTCAAGCAAAGAGCATCATGAGTTCCGTAAGAAACAAAACACACGCACAGCAGATATAGCAAACTACTGATAAGAAAGTATGAATAAACATGATTCTTCTCTCTAGATAACCAAATCTCTCATCATTCCCACAATAGTTACATAAATTCCAAGTCAGGAAATTCCAACACAATTTTAACTACAATTTTTATGTTTGCCTGAGACCAACAGTCTTAGTGACTTGAAAGGAAGAATGGATTTAAAAACTAAATAAATTTCATAGATATCTTTTAGCAAGCTGATAATTGCCTTCTCCTGTCCCAAGACCTTCCCCCTGAGAAAATCTAAGCAAAATTACTAAACTAGAGTAGTGAAGTATTTTGACAGTTTTAACAACAAATATGTAATTTATGGGGTTTCATAGGTCAGTAAAATAAAAGCTATTTCCACTTCCCCAAAAAACTTTACAGATTTTTTTTCAGTTCTGCATGAAATTATTTCGTCAAATGTAAAGCATCCAACTTCAAATATTTCTGCAATGCCATAAAAATAGTTGTGACCCACAACTTTTGTACACCTGATACCATTGCTTCAAGCAGACAAACTGAAGTGCCTCTTCTGAGGCCTTTTAACTCTTGGAGGCCAACAGCATTAAAGACTTCCCTACAGTTCAATCTGCACACTGGGCGGCCAGTATGATCTCACTGTGTGCTTTTACCAGTCAATGAAGGTGATTTTCGCCCCTGAACAGATTACATGATTATAAGCAATAAAAAAAAGAAACAGTAGCATAGCAATCACAGAAAGAGGATACAATAAACAATAATGAATTAAAACCCAATGTATAAATACCTTGAATGCAGTCACATGTTCCCCAACACTTTCTATTACACCAGCCACATCTGAGCCAGGAGTATAGGGTAAAGCCGGTTTTCTAGCATAATTTCCAGAACGAATATATGTCTCGACAGGATTTACCCCACAGGCATGGACTTGAATTAACACCTAAAAGAAAAGATGCTTCTTAAGCAATAATTAAAAAGATTTAGAACTTGAATTCACAGCACTGTGTCATGGCATTTTAACTAAATTCTTACACAGAGTCAGCAAAAATTCAGTGTTGAACTGAAGCTGTTTTCAGGAAATCCTTTATATGGCTTATGTAGCCCATATGACAGTAAAAAGCCCACATTTGTTAAACATGATGTCTCATGTAGCATGAATACACTGATCAAAAACTACGTATTCAAGATGGGAAGTTTTGGTTTGTTTTCTTTACTCTGTTCCAAGTGTTCCTATTACCATTCGATGTCATTATTTCAGTTCACAGAACTCATATATACCTGATTTTCTTTTGGAACAGGAATTAAAACATCTGACTGCAGTTTAAGCACTTCAGGGCCACCAAATTCAAAAACTCTGACAGCTCTCATCACATTTCTTGTGGCCGCCATAGCGATCAGAATATCTGGGGGAGAAAAAAACCACAATAATACTGTAACGCCTTCATAATTTATTTTCCATTTTCAAAATAAAAAATCAACTGCCTGTCAAGCAACTGATTAAATAGAAGATCGCTCCTGATTTAGATTTAAATTGGGGGGGGGGTGTGTTTGTTATGGGTCTGGTGTTTGTTTGTTTTCACAAATCTTGCAAAAGGCATAAAATTAACCCTACCATTTGCAGGACTTTATGGGTATTGAGAGAAAAACATGCAAATAATTTATCCATAGAAGTATTTCTACAGCAGCTCCTGCAAACACTGCACTGCTGTCACATATGGAGAGATGTACACTACTTTGGGGAAAAATATTGACAATTTACTATTACATTCTGGCAAAACAGCCTGTCGAACATTGGGTGACTGGGTAATCTAACCAAGTGACATTCCAGTCACTGCTCCTGCTTACTATTAAACTTACCTGTAAAAAAAAAAGCAACAAAAACCTAATTACCAGCTATCAAAAACAGAAGATACCGTAGGACGTTAAACCAAGTCAGCAAAAACTGAAGTGCAGACGTTCAAGATTCCAATCCTTAATTCCAGCTGGATTTCGCCGCTGCAGCTGTACGCGACAGAGAGCATGAACCACAGCCCTCAGCTACTGCAGCTTAGAACCTCGTACACATTAATGGAAGCGATGACAATTTATCAGCAGATGAAGCTGCTATTCCAACTGCATTCATTTGTGAGGTATTCTAACAAAACACCATGAACCAAGTTACTCCTACTACAGGAAAAGCTATACACAATTCTTTCAGGAATCTGATCGACTCAGACTGAGGAGCTTTACTGGGTATGCAGCAAAAAAAATCACAGGAGAGCAAACAGGAAGGTTAAAGACAGCCAGAGATCACACTTTTGATCAACTCTGGCTAAAGAACTTTAGCACTGTAGCCAGAAGCGGGCTTTTTCTCAAGGACGATTACAGCTTTTAGAAGTACCCGACTGACTGATTTTTAAAAGTACCTGATGACTTTTTTCTCCTCACTGATACCGTCAGCAAGGCTTCTCGGTTTTGGTTACCTATTCACGTCAGGAGGAGCATCAGTCACACGGATATACACTACTAACTTCTGCGGGTGCCCCGGCAGCCGAGGGGAGCGGAGGGGAGGGGAGGGCGGGCGCGGCGGCCCCGACTGCTCTGAGGCCTCCCCCGCCTCAGAGCGGCCGCCGGGAGCCCAGGCCCCGGGGGCGGTGGGGCAGCGGAGCCCGCTCCTCCGTCGCAAGCAGGGGCACACCCGGATGAGAGGGGCCTGGCCCGGCTCCTGGCAGGCTCACTGGCTGCTCTGGACAGAAGCGCGGCCGCGGAGCGGAACGGCCCCGCCGCGTCTGGACGGAGCGGGCCCGCCGCCGCCGCC